CGTAGATTAACTTCTGGGTATAATTATTGTTAATGCATATCGGTTCCATCCATTTTATCCGAGTTTTTCCGTATTATCCGAGCATGCACCTCGTCTTCGGTGCCTCGGATAATACGGAATCTCGGATAACCGAAGCTCAGATAATCGAGACTCTACTGTAACTATTATAGTATTCGAGATATTTATGAAAATGTAGTGTATATTCAAAACATTTTTATGTAGAAAACTTTTTTGATTGAAATCATTATTTAAAAGTAAATAACATTTTGATTTAAACCATTGAAACCCTGATAAATATGATTTAAAAAAAAAATCAAACAAATATAATTTCTTTAATTCTGATTTTTTGGATTTATATTTTTATCAAATTTTTAACTTGTTTATTTTTAAAAAGTCAATAATTCCGTAATAAAGTTTAAATAACTATTATTTTTTTTAGAATAAATTAGAATTTATATAATAATTTTAAATTAAAATTATCCAAGAAGTAGTCTTACAGCCGAGAAGTTGGCAACGCCATATTTTATTTTTTCAAAAAAACCATTTTTGTGCTAATTTGTGCTGCAAAAATTTTTTGAAAAAATTAAAATTAGAGTTCAAAATTTAAAAAGAAACAGTTTAACGCTCAAAATTTATGATTATTTTTAATTACAATCAAATCATTGTGCAAGTAGTAATGCAACACCAACAAAATCGACAAAAAATATTTAAAAAATTTTTTTTTTCAAAAAAACAAAGTTTTAATACTTAAATATAATATTTTAAATCCTAGAATAGACAAATATTAAAATTTTTGAAAATCAATTTTTGTGATGTAATTTTCACTGCTAGCATAAAAATAAGCTCAAAAAAATTTTTTGAAAAATTGTGTAAATTCAAAAGAAATTGCAATTTTATTACTCAAAAACAATATTTTTAACCCTAAAATCGACAATGTCAAAATTTTTGAAAATCAATTTTTGTTGTGTTTTTTGATTTTGTGTAAGCTTAAGGCAACAGAAAACTATTATAAAATTTACAAAAACGTTTGACAAAATAATCTTATTTTAACCAGTTCACTGTTAGAAAAAAAAATTGATAATGTGGTCCAAAAATGTTCAACAAATTCTGCCCTATTGAAAATCGCCACATAAGAACCTATATATGATTCCATATAGGATCCTTTATAAAACCGTTTTGAAATCCATAGGTCCACATAGGAATCCACATAGAATTTCATGTAAAATCATATATGAAATTCGGACACGATTTGGTGTATGATTTCATGTAGGAATTTATTATGTTGTTTCTACATTAAAATCTATGTGAATTCCTACATTATGTCCTATAATTTTTCTGGCATATTATTTTTGTCCATTTCCTTCATAATTAACTCACATCAAATCTTATAAAAAATATCATATAAAATTCTAAAAATTTCCTCATATAAAATCTTACATACAAGTTTTAATATAGGATTTTATGTGCATTCTTACATATGATTTTACATGTATTCCTTCATACATGACGGAATTTGAAGTATATTTTCCTAAATTCTCATTGAAAAATATTGCAAATTGAACGAGTGGCAGTAAATCTCTTTAGGCGCCTCGTAAAAAAATGGATCTGACTTCAGATTCGTAATCAGCGACACCAAAACTTATACATACAACATCAACGACATCAGAAAACATTCAGAAATGTCCGCAAAAGGTTAAACAAAAACTAAATTCAAAATATACGAAAACACAGAGCGCGGAGCAACCGATACTTGAATGCTCAAATGCTCATAACTTCGACAATTCTGCTCCGATCGGCTTGAAATTTTTACCTAATATTCTTGAAATATTTTACATTCATTTAAAAAAATAAAAAAAATGCAAAAAAAAATTAAATATCATACCCCCGCCCCTTAATTATGAAGAAAATTGACAAAAATAATATGCCAGAAAAATTATAGGAAATAATGTAGGAATTCATATAGATTTCAATGTAGAAACAACATCATAAATTCCTACATGAAATCATACACCAAATCGTGTCCGAATTTCATATATGATTTTACATGGAATTCTATGTGGATTCCTATGTGGACCTAGGATTTCATAACGGTTTTATAAAGGATCCTATATGGAATCATATACAGGGTGTTTCAAAAGTATGGAAACTTGCAAATATCTCGAAAAGTACGAATTTTCGTAAAAAATGATTAAGATAAAAGTTGTTCTAAACAAAAAGATGTACATGTTTGAAACCAAAAAATTGGACCCGGAGCCCAATGTTGGGCTCTACAATGAAAAAAGTTGTTTTCTTAAATGAGATCACTTATTTTCAGTATGAAATTCGTAATCTTCATGAAATTCTGCGTTCAGACATGTGGTATAAGTGCCCAAAATATTGGGTACAAAATTTTTCTACAGATAAATAAATTTTAAATAATCGCATCTTGGAGGGATTTTGAGATCACAGGATTAGAAATTGGAAGCTAATTTTCAAATTGGGCATAGAGTCCAATGTAAGATTCCGCCGCCCAATGTGAGACCCACAGTAAAAAATTTAGTTTCGTTCTATTTCGTAATCGTTATGAAATTTTGGACTTAGACTTGTGGTACAAATTCCAAAAATATTGGGAACTCACATTGGGCTACAGAATCTTACATTGGGCTTTGTGTCCAATTTGAAAATTAGCTTCGAATTTCTAATCCTGTGACCCCAAAAACCCTTAAAGATGTAACTTTTTAATTTTATTTATTTAACGAAAAATGTTGGGCCTAATCCCACACATTGGTCCCAATATTTTCGTCATTTTTACTACAAGTCTAAACCCAGAAATTCATGGAGATTACGAATTCGAGTCTGAAAATTAATGGGTTTTATTTATTTATTTACTGTTTTATTTTTTTACTGTGAGCCTCACATTGGGCTCTATGCAAAATTTGAAAATTAGCTTCCAATTTCTAATCCTGTGATCTCAAAATCCCTCCAAGATGAGATTTTTTAAAATTTATATATCTGTAGAAAAATTTGGGACCCAATATTTTGGGCACTTATACCACATGTCTGAACGCAGAATTTCATGGGGATTACGAATTTGATACTGAAAATTAGTGATCTCATTAAAGAAAACCATTTTTTTTCATTCTAGGGACCAAGATTGGGCTCCGGGCCCAAATTTTTGGTTTCAAAGATGTACATCTTTTTGTTTCGAACAACTTTTATCTTAAACATTTTTTACGAAAATTCGTACTTTTCGAGATATTTGCAGCACAATTTAGCACAAAAATTGATTTTTTGAAAAAATAAAATGGCGTTGACAACCTCTTGGACATTAATTAATTTTAAAACTTAAAATATACAAAATTGAATGTAAAAAATATATTAAATCTTTTAAAAAATGTTTAAAAATTTTAATATTAAACACTTTTTGATTTAAATCATGATTCAAGTGAAATTAAATTCAAAATTTTTTTTTTAATAATTTCTTAGTAAGAATAATTTAATAATAATATTTTTTTTATTTAAAATTTGAAACTTAAAAAATTTATAAGTTCTTTGACCAAAATATTATTGAACAAATTTTATTTTATTTTTGTACGAAGCTGAAGTACGCAACGTTTATGATAAACGATTTTTAAAGAAATAATTTTTTAAAGTAAAAATTTTTATAATTTTTTGCCTAAAAAATATTTTTTCATAATTTGTTGATTAATGAAAACTAAAAGAAATATTTTTTAGGCAAAAAATTATAGCATTTTTCATTTTAAAAAATTATTTCTTTGAAAATCGTTTATCATAAACGTTGTGTACTTCAGCTTCGTTTTTTTGTTATATTATTAATCAAATATAGGATTTTTAAAAAAATTATTACGCGATTTCGCAACCTTAAATTTTTCACATTTTTCAAAACATTTTTTCAAAATTATTTTGTAAAATAAATTTAAAATTGAAATAGAAATATTTGAAAAAATATTTGAATCAAAAATTTCATTTTAAAAAAAAAGTCGGAATAAGTCGAAAAAGTTGTAAAATCCGTGGCCTGAAAATACGGAAGTAGATTTTCGAAACACCGATGAGAATTAATTTTTTACTATATATAAGCAAAAAAAAAAAAATTCAAACGAACTGTCACCTTATCTAAATCACTTTGTTTTCCGTGTATCGTGTTAATTGAACGTGTCATTAAAAATAAATTTTAAACATCGTATTTAATTGGTATTATGAAATGATTGAAAGGAAATGTAAACTTACTTTCTCATTTTTTCAATTACGATCAAATTATCGTTCGTTTAAAAAAAAATTTATTAATTTAGTTTCATTAAAAAAATTGTCAAATTTTTAAATTACTTTCTTCTTAAATTAAATCGCGTTTTTGAACCTACCACAATATAATAATTGTTGACATATATGAATATTAAGGACAAATACTAAATCTAAAAGAAAATATCAATTTTCACTTGTCACACGCAGAAATCTAAACAATGAAAATCAAAACTTCCGAAATGTCTTTGTCTCTCTTTAATATTAATCCACAACTTTTTTTTCACGACACTGAACAAATCTATTTGAAAACAATCATTATTGTTAACAATGAACTAATAATTAAAAAAAAAACTAATTCGTAAAAAAAATTACAATATTCTTAATAAAAAAGACAATTCCAAATGAAAAGAGAATTTAAAAATAAATTTTAACGACAATTTTGCAAAGTGAAAGATCATTTGACTTTAAAGAGAAAAACGTTTTCTTCGATAGGGAGAATTAATATTCAATCATATATTTGCCATAAAACAGGGAGAAAAACGAAGAATCGTCAAAACATTAAAAAATTTCGCACAAGATTGTTAACTATAAAGACAGTATCAGAAAAACATATAAACGATGGGAGTAACAAAAGAATTGGTAATAAATAAATATAAATAATAAATAAACATCATTTGTCATTTGAGATTTGACGACTGTGACTTGTCGCAGGAGAAAATCCCACGAAACAAAGTGTAAAAAAGAAAGTGTAAAAAACTTACTGTGATATTGGCGTGAATTTCGTACTTCTTTCCATTTTTTCCCACGAACCTGCAACTGAGTTCGTCCACACTCGCGGACATTATTTGAAACCTCTCATGGCTCTTGGGGAAGACAGACTCGAGGGTTTTGATCTCCTGTTTGAGGGTGTTCAGGCAAGCCATTTGGGCTTCGCAAGGGGTTTAAAGGAAGATCGCTGATCCGACTTTTTTGAAGAGGTGCCTGTCTAATTCGAGAAAAATTAGGAAGGCCGCGTTATAAACCGTGTTAAATCACGATCAACCGATCACCGATAATTTTCCGATAAAATGGCGACTACAACAGAGTAATTGACCGCTCGCCTAAACTCGTTCCCAGTCGGATTTCTCCGTCAGCTGGCTGTATTTGCTCATATCGCCATTTTATAAGACGAATATATACTTATATATGTATGGGCCAACGCACATTGAAATCGTAACACGTAAACTTTAACGTGAGATAGAAAAAGAAAGACGATGTTTCTGTCTTTTTCTCTCTCTCTCGTTCTTACGTGATACGATTTACGACAAGGCCGTTTCCGAATTGGTATTTTTAGCGCACTTTTGGTAAAATGTATACTTTTGACTGTACATGCCTACACTTTTCTGTCCTTGTCTTACGTACGTGTTGTCATGGGTACACATGATTTAGAAAAGGATAAAAAAGTGCAGGCATATCTGGCCAGAAGTGTATACTCGGGAAGTATGTACTGTCCTTGTTTTTCCGTGTGAAAAAAAGGACACTGCATACTTCCCAAGTATACACTTTAAGGCCTTTCTCCAATATGTTCCTAAATGTTTGCGTTGCGTGATTGACGCGTTGGTTCGCAAGCGCAGTGACGTCATCAAAGCATTGATACCAATCGCGAATAAAAAGTTTGGTTTATGTTCCTCTTATCCCTGTTTTCCAAGTTTACAATTTTTAATGCAAATTTTTCTCTTCGGCTTTTAATAATTTTAATTATTTAATATTTATAATTAAAAAATTCAGTTTCTTAAAATCATAATCCAAACTTTTTGTTCGCGATTGATATCAATGCTTTGATGACGTCACTGCGCTTGCCAACCAACGCGTCAGTCACGCAACGTAAACATTAAGGCGGTTCCAGAATAGGTACAAAAGCCAACTACAAGTGCAAGTCCAAATGTAAATCCCATAAGTGCGAAAGAGATAGGTAGCCTATCTATCTCTCTTGCACTCATAGGATTTGCATTTGGACTTGTACTTGCACTTGACTTTTGCACCTATTCTGGAACCACTTTTATGGAGGTTCTACAATAGGTGCCAAAGCCAAGTACAAGTGCGAGTCCAAATGCAAATCCCATGAGTGCAAGAGAGATAGATAGACTACCTATCTCCTTCGCACTCATGAGATTGCCACTTGGACTTGGCTTTTGCACCTATTCTGGAACCACCTTTAAGGAACATATTGGAGAAAGGCCTTTATCAAAAATGCGCCGTTCGCATGAATTAGAAAAGGATAGAGACATTATGCTTGGATCAGGGTTGTCATACGGAAGCGCCTACGCGACACCTGCCTGATCTGCCTCTGCCGAGAGAAGGAGGTAGCGATTTTCATGAAATTCTGCAGAGTGTACACACATTGACTTTCAATGTTTACGTTTACGTCTCTCATCCGTTTCAATTAAAAATTTTAAAATAAAGCATATTTAATGAGTTTTTTAAGGTAAGTTGAACAAATATTCATACTTTTTAAAAACAAAATATGATAATAATAATTATTATTATTACTCTTTTATAAAAGAATTGCGCTTTCTGCAGGGAGGGAGAGCATACTTCCCGAGTATACACTTTATCAAAAGTGCGTTAAAAATCTCATTTTGGAAACGGCCCAAGAAGACTAGAATAAGGAGGTCTAACTTAGGTAGTGGGGGTACGTAAAGAATTGGTTTTCGAGGTAGGCCGAAAGGCAGAGTGTGCGGTAGACTTCTGCGCACACCAACACATATACATTTTTGTTGCCTCGTCAAGAATTACTGAAACTCGTATGTATTGGTATGCGCAGAAGTCTACCGCACACTCTGCCTTTCTCGAAAATCCGCCTACTACAACTACCAATTTCATACGTATACTTAGCATACCCCCACTACTTGAGTTAGACCTCCTTATTCTAGTCTTCTTGAAACGGCCTACCTTCTACTCTCTGCAGAGGCAGAACAGGCAGGTGGCGCGTAGGCTATTCCGAATTCTGGTGGTCCAGGGTTAGAAGCAATGCTGATTCTGCAAAACTTCGATAAATCGAAAGAATTTAGTAGATTGGTTGGTTTTTATTGTCCCCACTAGCCAAACTCTCCATTCGACATTTTTCGTAATTCTTGTTAACTATCTCGCCCACTGCCTGCTCTAGTGAAAATTTAGTAACTTTTAATTTTAACACTACATTTACTAAATTTTTACTAGAGCAGGGTGCGGTAATTAACGAGAATTATTTCCAGGTATGTTTAAAAAAAATCATATCCAAAATAAAAAAACTTAATTTGTTTATAAAAAATTGTTATTTTTTTTAATAAAAAATGAAAAAAAAAATTTTTTCGTTAGCATTACTGAAAAGTATAAGAAAAACTGAAACTTTTCTTCTCTTTGAGAAAATCCATGTTTTTCGAGTTCTCACTCTCTAAATCTGAATCAGTCATATTTCACTGATTATAGCAGTAGAAAATAATCTACTAATTGCCATAGCGAGAATTGAGCAACTGATAATTAATAGAAATTTACTGATTCAATTAGTAAAATATCAATTACTGATTGAATCAGTAATATAAACATATGGCAGCGGCCGCAAAATCTACTGATTTAACAGTTAATTTTAAAGGTTATGTTATATACAAATTACTGATTTACATAAGTTATTTTCTATTGCTTATATATTCAATAATTATATTAGTAAATTTCAAAAAATAACTGAAACTTCAGTGAAAATGAAAAGTACTGATTGAATTAGTAAAATTTCTAGATTCAGAATTAGAGAGCAGATATTAAAAATAGGTCTACATTTACAAAACTGAAATTTTGAAAATTCATAACTTGAAAATTTGTCAAAAAAATACGTATCACTCTTTTTCACTATAGAACAAGAAAAAAATATATTTGGCCGATTTTAAAGGGTGGACGGAAATCTCCCGTGAAATCGCCCAAATATGGAATGTGAGATCAAGATTATAGTATTAAATTATAAACTCTCGCCGGGTTAAAAATGATTCTTGTTCTCACATATTTGTATGTTATTAATAATAAAATCGGTAAAAAGAAATTAAAAGCATATGTGACGCTCCACGAGAAAAGGGACCTAACGCGACAAAAAATTAATTTCCAGTTTTATATGCGAATCGATAGTATTTGAGTTGCTCTTTCATATAGAAATGTCAAAAATAAAATTTTTCTAATTACTTTTTTTTGTAATAAAGCTTTAAACATGACGACCTCAATCGCGTTCCAGCACGGACTACGGAAACTATCCCCACCACCACTACTACTAGTATACTTGTTGTATCCGTGAGACGTAGGAACGATGTAGTAGTAAGGTAGTGGGGCTGATATTCGCTGGCGCGTCTCAGCCAATGAGAACGTTTGACTTTAAACGCCTCTCCTGTATAATTCTGTTTTGTCGCGTTAGGTCCCTTTTCACGTGAAGCATCACATATTTACATACTGTTTTTAATCATCCTCCTTACTTAAATAATAATTTATAACATATTTCCATGATTTCAACGTATTTAAAGAAAAATTCAATATAACCGTGAAATATTCCCTCAATATATCACTATTGAATATGTCGCGATCCTCAATGTCACTGCAATATTCTATGAGGCGAACATTTTGATTTTCCTAGAAGATTATCAGAATTACATTTAACTTGACATAGTATTGCATGGTAAATTTGGTAATAATACATTGCAATATTCAGGCAAGTTTCGTGTAATATTGAATAGCTTCGCCTCACAACTACCTTGCATGGCAATTCTAAGGCAATATTGAAGAAATACTACACGGCAAGTCTGAGCCAATATTGCCAGGTAACATTATATTGTAACATTAAGTTAATATTGAGATAATATTACAATGACTTTTAGTTTAACGACAAATGGACTCATAGTAGAAATAGAACCCTGAATATAATGCACATGAGTCCAGAGTTTAACCAACGAGCCAAACTTGAGTTCTTTTTTTCCTAAAACAAAAAGTCGTTATAATATTTATTTTGATTAATAAAGATAGACCCGTATTTTAATTTGTATATTTCTAATTGTCAGTATATTATGGTCTCGTTGCGAAAATATGATTGGTTAAGTCAGGAACATACGTTGATTGTTGCTTCTAGGGCCTTTAGGAACATATGTTTTAATACTTCTAATTTCTGCATTTAAATATAATCAATATTTTAACCTTCAAAACCTTTTTCTCCCCTGAGTTAAAAACAAATGTCTATCTCTGTCTAACTTAAGGTACCGTCTCATGACAGCGTGAAACGCCGGCGTAAAAGCAGGATGCATGAGAAAGAAAGAGATAGTGAGATATGTTCATTTCTTTCGTTTCCATCCTTTCCGCTTTACGTCGGCGTTTCACGCTGTCATGGGACGGCGTTTTTATCGATCGTTTACGAATTGGGATTTTTAGCGTATTTGTGATTAAAAATCCCAATTCGGAATCGGCCATGGAAATAGAGAGTCAACGATCACCTATCTCTCTCAACACGCAATTTGCAACGTCTGTCTTTTTCTATCTGCTGTTTCATTGCCACAGCTGTTTCTCCCATGAAAATACTCCTTTACGCGTGACTACGACAATCCTGTCTATATTGTAGAAGAACCTTTAAAACTACATCTGTTCCATCTACCATTGAATAGAATAGAGAGAAGAATATTTCCTCTCTCTCTTACTCTTTCCGTTCGTTTCTTTTTTCTGCTTTTCCCCCTATTCCAGAAACCCCGACTTGTTGTGTGACAGTTACGAGTGATTGAAACCAGTATGTTTTGTATAATGTGCAATTCTGGTTTATGTTATAAATGTTAATAAATTAATTTTTTTTTATAAATTTACTATTTAATTAAAAAAAAAGAGAAAAAAAATGTGTTTTATTTCTTGTGCCATATTTAGTGCGTGTGTGCATTGAAAATACTCCATGGCAGTATTAGCAGCAGCAGACGATGGCAATGAGTGTAAGGCGCGAGCGCGCCACTTTATCATAATCCAACACAGCTGAATTCAGTTCACTTTCGGCCACACACATAACCGGCCTCATGTGTTTTTCTTTGTTTATTGCTATTTTTTAATCGCGAAATAAACGTTTATTTCAAATTAACACTTGTAAATTATCTCATTTCTCCCGCATTGTGACTATTTTGTTTTTTTTTTTGTTTTTTTATTGTGTGTGGTTATTTGCTTTATAGTGCATACTACTTTGTAGTATAGGAACATTAGGAAAAATGGATAACAATGTTAGTCATTATTTAGATGCTCGGTAGAATGTTAAATTGAAGAATAAGAAGAAAAAAAGAAGGCAGGCTGCAATAAAGTATAGTCGGTGTGTGTTTGTGTGAGTGCGTGCGCGTCTGTTATGTGGCTGAGGGCTTGAGTGTATTGTGTGTGCGCGCCTATATGAGAGGGATATAGAGGAGAAAAAAAAGAGAGGTCTTTTTCCAATCGAAAAGGGTTTTTTTTTTCTTTCGCTTAATGTTTCACTTGCTGTGGAATATTTGTTTCATCGAGCTTGTGTTTTCTTCGTAGGAACGAGGGGTTTTTTTTTTTTTTTCTTTCAAACACTATATAGAAAAAGAGAAGAGGATCTCCTCTCTTTTGCCGGGAAAAAGAAAGAGGAATGCCGCTGTGACACACGCTCAAGATAAACGGAGAGACCCAAAGCAGTTTGGGGGGGCCTAAAATACTGCACATACAAGCCAAGTAAGTGCATCTGCAGTTAGGTGTATATAATCTAGAAAAGCCTAACATTTTTTTTCCCTCTCCTTTCCTTTTCTATAATCGTTCAGTTTTTGTAATATTACAATATTACCGATCAAATTTTTTAGTTTTTATTTATTTTTCTAGAAAAAAAAAATCTATTTAAATAGTGCCTGGAAATTTAATGCTGGCATTAATAAACCCGAAACCCTTTACAATCTGCAGGAATCCTTGGCGGGATGACTGACGTGCGCTCACAATACAAACTCCCCTCCCCTCTATCTCTCTCTTTTTCTCTCTTACACTCTCTTCCTGAAATATGAGGGTCATCAATGATTTTAATTTTTAAATATTTCTCAATTTAAAGTCCAGCTTTTTCTAGTAAAATTAAAATACTCCGAAAAAAATGGTAGTTGAAAAAAATTTTCTACACGAAAGGAATATTAATTTGAGTAGAATAAATTGGCATTATTTTCAGCTTTAGGGTTCTTTGAGTGATTCTTATGATACATAAAAGCTGTGGGGTTGGTTTTATTCTTAACGTTCTTAACATTTTAAAGAGGTTAGGTAGTAACGAATAAAGGACATTTAAATAATTTTCCCAGTAGAAAATTATGAACAAGCGCTAATTTAAAAGGACATATTTATTATAATTATTATTATAATTATTATTATTTGATTAGAACGTAGAAAAGAATTAATCTTTTTTTTTTAATTCGAAGGCAAAGTTAACATAACCTTATAGAGATTAGACATGAAATGTTCATACTTATAAAATTATGGTTGCTATAAAAAAATACGATTAAATTCGAATAATTTTGATAGTGATTTTTCACGATTATTTGGGGGAATTTATTTTTTTATGAAGCGAAATTTTTTTAGCCTGTTTTAGAAAAAAGAATTAATTTTTTTTTCGGAATTCTTGTGTATTTTTCTGATTCGCCAAAGCATATTGAACAGAATTGAGCATGTCAACATACTGTATAGTTTCTGTGAATGTTTCTGTATATTTTAGAAAAAATAAGATTTCATGTTCATAAAAAATCTTGTAAGTATATTTTTATAGAAAAAAAGTGAGATTTCTTTTTTATTTTTGATGCTTCTTTTTTGAGAATTGCATTGTTAAAAAAAAATAATCATTTTATATCGAAAGTAATCTGACAGTGCGGTTTATAGATTCAGCAAGTTTGGTATATACAACATAACCTGTTTTTAGTCTGCTTTAATCAACTCCATTACACCAACTTTAGAATGTGTCATTTTTCACTGGTTTTTTTTTTAAGAATTAAAATTTTTATATTAATTTCACTATAAATGTGAAACAGGAATTTTATGCTTGAACATAAAAATATTTTTCGTTAATTTTGTTTAGTTTAGTGTTTAAATTCGCATGGTAGAAAGTATTTTTTTTGAACTAGTTGCAATTAACGAAAGCATTAGAAAGTATAATATATATTTCTTTGGAAAACAATAGTTTTTAAAGCAGCATAATTCCAATCTGAGCATTATGTATAAAAAATATATTTATAATATATATGAGGCATTCTCTGGAAAAAAAAGAGGCACCCCCAAAAAAAAGTTCTGCGATTTGCTTGATACTTTGGTAAATTTTCGTTCGATATGAAAGTAACAAAAACCTTAAAATATAAATTCATTTAAAATAAAATTATAAAAAGTAGAGGGGGTTGAATAGTTTTTAGATAACTATGTCATTTTCAAAGCCGTATAAATTCTACTAAACTTTATGGATTTAAATTTGTCTTGATGGTTTTTTGAAGTAGTTTTTAATGCAAAAAATTTTTTTTTCAAAAAACCTTTTTTTAATCCTACTTTTTTTTTTAAATTAACCTTATTTTTCATTTTTAACCCCTTAGTCCCCATTAAAATTTTTTTTTTTTGTTATTTTTATTTGAAAGCTGAGATTTTTTCCAACAAAACTTTATAAATATAAAAATTGAACAACATTGGGTTTGACAGAGAAAATAAAAACAAAAACATTTATTTACCCTTTTTTTCTTTTTTTTCGCAAACAAATTGTTCTCTTATTTTTATATCTATACAGTTTTTTTTGGAAATAATTTTAGCTTTTAAATAAAAATATCAAAAAATTTTTTTTAACAAAGGCAAAAAATGGGTAAAAATGAAAAATAACAGCTATTTTGATAAACTTGGATTAAAAAATTATTTTTTGGAAAAAATTTTTTGGCTTTGAAAACTACATGAAAAGTCCTTTACAAAAACCTTGTTGACAAATTAAAATCCGTAATGTTTTGTAGAAGTTATACGGATTTAGAAATTACAGTATTACCGTAAAAGTCAAAACTTATCTTATTAAATAAAATAAAATTTCAACCTCCTCTACTTTATATGTATAGGATAAAATTCCTGCATAGCGTACTAAGAGCGTACTAAATAAGTGGACTAAATTTTGCGTCTGCGCAGAATGTTTGTGTACATCTGCGACCATGGTTCCGATAGTGACAGGTTAGAAAAGTTCGCTGGGATTAGCGGCCACGTAATAGCCTTTTCTAACCTAACTTTTCTAACCTCTCGCTATCGCAACCATGGTCGCAGATGTACATAACCCCACTGAAAATTCCCACATAGGTTCCCATATGGGAAACCACATGGGTCCCTATATAGGAAACCATATGCTTTCCTATACAAAATCGTATACGTAATTGGAACAGGAATTTGAATAGGAAATTAAGTCGGAATTATCATATGAATCCACATCCATACAGGAATGTACATTCCTATGTATATTCCTATTTCAATTCCTATAATATGAATTTTTTTTCAACTCTAAGATATATATCTTTCAATAGTAGAGGCTCCTAATAGACTACAGAGATGAAAAAAATTTATTGCGCAGCCGAAAAATTTGAAGAAAACTACTGCGCATGATATTAAGATATAATGTACATTCATATGATAATTCCTACTTAATTTCCTATTCAAATTCCAATTACGTATACGATTTTGTATAGGAAACCATATGGCTTCCTATATAGGAGCCTATGTGGGTTCCTATATAGGTGCCTATGTGGGGATTTTCAGTAGGAAAACATTCTGCGCAGACGCAAAATTTAGCCAGTTTAGTACGCCAGAGGATTAAATTTAACCCTCCTGATTGGCTCTTGGTGTAGCCAATCTCTAAGTGAAAAAAAATTGATCGGATCGGGCTGTAACTTGCACATAGTTTAGCCCTAGTATTGGGTATTTTGACCACGAATTATTGTTAGGTTTTATCACAAACTGTAAAAGGGGGAAGTCAGTTTTTTAAAATTCAAAATGGCGGATCCAATATGGCGGATTAAAATTTTAAAAATCAATGGGTTTTTGAAAAAATGAGTATTAGGGGATTTTTTAGGTCGCTGATTACAAATTTGAATTTCACTTCTGGTGACACCATTACCAAAAAATTTGTCATTATTTTATAAAGACGCCTGATTTGTCAAAATCGTGGAAGACATTTTCGAATATTTTATTTTAAAAAAGTAACCAATTTCGTTAAATAATTATTATTAATGTAATAATAAATAAAATAAGTAATTTTATTTCGACTAATTAGTTTTGCAATTTTTTAATTAAACTCACTGGAAGACGGAAGAGTAATTATGATTTTTAAATAAATGTTTCATATCTACTATTTATTTTTCAAAATACATTGAGCGTTATATCCGAAGAATATAAACTTATTGCGCAGGCGTAGTTGTTTTAGAATTTAATTGCTTATCTTGCAAATTTTTGCAACATTCCATCGGCGTTACTGTTGAATGGTAATTAGTAACGCAAAAAACCGCCTTACTCCAAGATTTTTTAAAAATTGACTTTTTACAATGTTTAGCTGTCTTATTAGATCCGCCATCTTGAATTTTCATAAATCTGACTTCAGATTTATAATTAACGACCAAAAAACTTTTTTAGTATAAATAACTGTAATATTAGTTGAATAGAATAGAATAGAAAATCCAATAGAGAGATATGTAATTTAATTGGAGTAATTGAATAAAAATACATCTAAATCAAAAAGGGGCAAATTCGGGCAAGTTTTGTTTGTGGGATTTGTTTCAGGGATGTTTAATAATTAATTTTAAAAAAAAATTTGGCCGGATTCATAACTTTTTAAATTATTTTATAAAATGTTTTTTACTTGATTTTTTTTATACATTTTCATGTATTTCTTAGTTAAATAGTTTTTTTAATTATTGATATTATTAATTATAAATTATGCAAATGTGTTTTAGTACTTTCCATGAGACGACTCCAATTTAGAAAATTAAGAAATAATAAAATTTCAGCTTTATATAGTATTTTTATGAGCGCGATGTATTTTTCATTCTAATTTGCGGTTTTTGGCACATAAGAAATGTTTATATTGGAAAATGTTTAAGTTCTAAAATATAGTGTCAAACTTTGACAAAAATTTGTACATTTGGAATTTAAATGTTCAAACTCGTTTTTTTCGAAACGATGTTTTTGAAACTGGATTTAATGCTCAAATAGGATAATAGTCAAGTAAATGATTTATTTAGATAAAAATAATTTTTTTTCACTGTACCGCTTAGTACCGCGATCACCCATTTTTTGATGAATGAAAAACTTTTTAAAGGGACAGTTCGATAATAAGTCAAAACAAGTTTTTTAAAACTTATATTTCTTGAAAACTAAGACAGTTAATCATAGAATTTTTTTTTATTTTAAAGGTAGTAATTTATATTTCCTAAAAAAAAATTGGTTGCAGTTGTTGCTGTTACATCCCAGCCTTATATTTGGTAATAAAAACAGGTCGTAATAAAAGCATTGCAGGCCTGTTATCTTAAAAACTCCTTAACCGGTTTTGCTCAAAAAGGTCTAAAATTTTTCTGGACCTTTAAGATACATTAAGTAAAATTGATTCGAGAATTTTTCGAGTAATGAAAATGCTGTTTTTATTACTATCTGTGTTTATCACCCTAATATAAAGCTTCATGTAACAGTATTAACAACTGGAACCACCCCAATTTTGTTTTAGAATAATATATAAATTACTATCTTTAAAATAAAATAAAAATTGTATAATTAACTAACAAAGTTTGTTTGTTTTTTTAAAAATCTTTTTTTTTAAACTTATTACTGTACCTACTATTTCATTAAAATATAAAATGTTCCAGGAATTTATTTTTGTTATGTTACTCCAATTCTTTTAGGATTAAAAAAATATTGCATTTTATTGAAAATTTGAAATCAATAGCCAATCAATTAAACACTAGATAAGCAATTCTGCAACGATTACATAGCTTGTGGAAAAATAATTAGCTGATAATACTTTTCACTATTTCAAATATCTATTTAACATCTTATAACTTATCGCTACAATTTTCTTTTGTTTTCTTTAAATGTCAAAAATTACATATTTTCTTATTTATTTACGCAAAACGGTAGGACATTTTAAAAATGATTAATAGTGAGTAATTAAATCGCAAGAGTTTTAGAAATCAACTTTACAGCTTAAGAATGGATATGGTTACGAATAAAATGAACCATTAACACTACAATTTAAACAATTTACCCCTTTTTTAGTGTAGAACTTTTTTTTCTTACGCGGAATAGAGATTAATCGGCAGTTTTAATAAAAAAAATTTTTTAGAAATTGCATAACTTGTAAATTAGATTAAAAATACGATTTGCATTTTTTAAATTGAATATTACAAACAAAAATTAAGGGTGATGCAGAATTTTACGAAATATATTCTTCCAAATAACTATAGTCTAAAAGATAAATTAAACTTATAAATTAAACTTTATTAAAAAATTATGTAATTTACAGAAAATAAACAAATTTTAATTGAACACTCAGTTTCATATCACCTGGGTCACAAAATAAAGTCACTTTACACTATTATTACTATTCAATTTAAGAAATTAATATCTTTAGATATTTATTTATTTATTTTTACAGGTTCTCCAGCATTGAAAATATGCCACGAGTTCGAAGGCATGTGGCCCTGGAAGATCCTTCTAGACCTGTCACACCTGACATGATACAAACAAAATTAGGTAGGTATAAATTATGCTCAAATGGTTTTTTTTAATTTACACCCTATTTATTAACTTTCTCATATCATATAATCCTTCCTTTATAATATAGAGATGAAAATTTGATCCAGTGAAGAAAATGAATAACAAATTTGTTGTTTAAGTTATTGCAACGTTTTAATGGTTCACTTTATTATCCTCTTCAAAGGAAGTCACAAAAATTTTATTGTTGTATAACTATATCCAGAAAAAAAACGAATTCAGGTGAATTGAATAGAATTAACTTCAGGAAATTCGCATTAATTCTGCTTTCTGATCCGTTAAGATGTATTGAAAAGAATTGACCATGTCAACACTGCCGTACAAATTAATTAAGGAGGAATATACCGCAAATTGAAGTCAAGCGAGCTTTTACAAAAAAATATTTATAAAACAATTTTATAAAATCAGCAAACTAATTTTGAAGTATATTTACGTTACTACGAGTCACAAATGCAAAGAATTTAGGAGAAATATAGTAAAATTAATGAGATATTGGCAAAAGAAAATTGTTATATCGGGTGACTCACAAAAATTCATTTAAACTAAAATCATTATAATTTATAATTATTGAACGATTTTATGTGTATTAGCTATCTGTGAAACACACTGTCACTAAGAATAACTAAAAGTCAAATCTCTATAAAAATACATAAAGAATTATAGATTCTATCCAAAATTTGAGAAAAATTTTGAAGAAACGTGGCAATGATGCATTTGATTGAATATTAAAAATAACCTTTTTTGAATCGCGTAGTATAATTAGCAGTCTTTTATCTATGTTTTACTATCACGAATGACATCAGATAAATAAACATGGCGTCAGAAATTAATTTATTTAAAGCTTTTATGCAACAGTTTTTAAATTTCGCGCCAAATTACGTTTAATTAAAAAAAATACAATGTTGCCATGTTTCAGGGAACTGCTGAAATATTTATTTCGAGATTTATTTAGTTCACTTTAATAGGTTACGCCACCCTGAATGCCTGAAAATTGGACGGTATTTCAAAAATAAATTTTGACAAAACTATTAAAAATACAACTTTTTAATAATTATAGTTTAAAAATGCATATATTTAAGTTAAAACTCGAGTTAAAAAAAATTTTTTAATTTAAAAATATTGAGAAATGGCGGAGATATGGCGTTTTTTCGTAACTACATTTTTCGGAACTGTGTACATGTTTTCTCAGAAACTACTCAACCGATTCTCTTGAAAATTTGTACACAACTTCTCAATAACATTCTCTATGGCATCATGTAGGATTTTTTTTTGATATGATTTGTTTAAAAAATTTTATACCTTTATAAAAAAAAACTTTTTTTTAAGTGCTCCCATTTGCTCAAAAAATTTTTTTTCAAAAACGGCTACATGATGCAATAGAGATTGTTATTGAGAAGTTCTGTACAAATTTTCAAGAGAATCGGTTGAGTAGTTTCTGCAATAACATGTACACCGCTCCGAAAAATGTATTTTCGAAAAAACGCCATACCTCCGCCATTTTTGAATATTTTTTAATTTAAAAAAAATTTTTTTTAAATTAAATACATGTATTTTTAAACCATAATTATTAAAAAGTTATATTTTTAATAGTTTTGTCAAGATTTATTTTTGAAATACCGACCAATTTTCAGGCGTTTAGGGTGGTGTAACCCCTTAAAAATATTTTTCATATATTAATCGACGGTGAAGTCTCAGGGTACGGTCACACTATCTCATGCATGCAGAAACATTTGGCAGGTCACACTTCAACGAAATCTAGTAAATGTAATCGAAATCTAGTAATTTTCCAAAAATTTCGGTTGTAACTAGAAAGTTACTAAACATTCAATAGATTTCGTTAAAGTCTTACCGGCCAAATGTTTCTGCATGCATAAAATAGTGTTACCATACCTTCGTTTAAAATTTTTTTACATTATTTTGGAGGTTTAATTTATCAAAAAATCACAATTCTAGGACTATATCTTTACTGAAAGTGTTTAAAAAAACTAAATTTATAGGTTTGGAGAGATTTACTTCATAAGACACAATGTTAATTTGATTTCAAATATTTTCAAAACTAAACGGTGAAAATTGTTTAAACTTTCAAAATTACGTAAAATTAATTTAACTTTAACATATTGCAAATGTATCAAGAAATCTTTACTTTTTGTTATGGCTCATTCCTCCTTAAAAAGATACGTAGGCACCACCGTCGCTTAGATCGTAATTACTATAGTATAAAAATGAGAAAATTAACCTAAGTGATAATGGCGCTTTCCTATATTTTTAGTTTGTACGACAAAACAGTGAGTTCGTTTGAATTCGTTATAATGAGTAAAATATTACAAAAATAATTGAATCCTGGAGGATAAAATTTTAAACAAAGAGCTTTAATAAGAAAATAACCTAAAATAACTTCAATCTGGTTAGTTATGACAGTTACAGTGAATACACGACAGTGCTGACAATTTTTTTTCGAATTAACATTTGACAGAATTTATTTTTAAACAAATTTTTACTTAACAGAATTCTTGTGTATTGAATTTTTATTGTATATAATTATTAAAATGACGAATTTTTTGTCCGAAATTGCAAATGGATGAACAAACAATCGACCTAAAGATTTCGGCGCAATTTTTAAAATCCACCAATCACGATTTTGTTGATAACTTTTGATTGGTGAATTTTAAACATCGCGCTGAAATCTTTCTGTCGATTGTTTGTTCGGCCATTTTTAATTTCGAACAAATAAAAATTCGGAGCCTAAAAATTCTGTTAATTAAAAATTCTTTAAAAAAGAAATTCTGATAAATGTTAATTCGCAAAATTAAAATTCTAACTAAAAATTTTTATGCCCGTCCTAAAGTGAAAAATTAGTTAGTCAAATATTTGACGAAGATGCTTCAGTCATTTGTCACCTAGATCTCGTCAAAAAAATACAATATAGAATTTATTTTTGTTTTATTGAACCAACCACTATTCGAGAACACAAAAGTAAAACATTAGCTGAAAATATTATTAATTATAGAAAAACTACAATTTTTTACAAATTGTAATTTTTTTCGTTTTTCTGAAAAATTGTTGTCTTTTAGCATTTTTTTCCATAATAAAATATTTATAATGAAACTTTTCAAGTATGAAAATAAATACTTTAGGAGACGCAAAACATGTTTTTTAACAAATAAAACAAAATTATTTAATGGTGAACCACCCATATTGCAAAAAGTAAAGCTATAAAAAATGATAAAATAAAAATCGTTGACAAAATGGAATACTGTCGATTTTTAGTATTTCAAAATCAATTAGGGTAAATGTACCAGTGAATGAACACTTGGCGAAAAAGTATTATAACTAAGGCTAAAAATTATTATTTAATATAAAAATTGTAAATTAATCATTTAAAATGTTTCTTTTATTAAATTATATAGAAATTATGAAAGGTTAATTTAAAATAATTTGTCAATAATATAGATTTTAAATAGATGCCCGTTTTTGCTGGTCTAGAAGATAAATTCTAGTTACACTGTAGAAAGCACATCTAAATTTCAAATATGTATTTTAAATACAATTTTTTAATAAGATGTGCAAAATATGTTACCAATAAATTTTGTAGACTTCAAAGTTTTATTATGAAAATTTTTTACAAAAAAATATTCATATCATTAAAATTTTAAAGCTGTTCACTCACTGAAACATTTTTATATCAATGTTCCAGTAAATAGACAGTGTTTTTTCATTGGTGTCGCCAGTTTTTATCCGCTAGGCGGCGCTAATATCGAAAACAGCTGACAGAGTAATTCTAATGTTTGCAATATTTATGTCAACATTATTTTCAGATTATATTTAATATTTTGATATGCATGACTTATTTCAAGATTTTAGCAATTAACTTTATTAATTCTTTCTTTCCGAATTTTTAGTTTATTTATAATAAATAAACTGTTTGAAAAAAATAAGTGTTCATTTACTGGTTTAAGGTTCATTCACTCCTATTTAAGAAGGCGTTCTTAAATCTAGAATATCGTTTTTTCAGTGTACCCTACTGTAGAAGCAATATTCGATTTTCAATTAAAATCGATTTCGATTTGCACATCACTAGTTTTTTTCTTCAGAAAAATATGCAGATTGAAATTATGAAAAATTTGATCAGTTAAAGGTACAAATAATTATTTCCACTCAATTCAAATGTTTTTTATAATTTCAATCCGAGGGGGAATTTACTAGTAAAAATTGTGTACACTTGACTACAACTACACTTATTATCTTAGTATCACATATATTACAAGTATTACTTCTATTACAAGCATTACATACTATTACCAAAATATTACTGTATTACAAAGTATTACACATATATTACTGAGTATTACCCTTTATTACAAAAAATATTACACGTTAAATAGCACTTTCTTATAAGTAGAACTTTCAACAAAATTACTTAAAATTATTATTTAAGAGCAAAACTAAAATAAGAAATAGAGAAATAAATAATTAAATATTTTTAAATATTACTTATAAAAGAAAATAATAAATTTTTCTTTTTTAAATCGTAAATAACAATATTATTTCAAATATTTTGAAATTTCTTTCAAAGAACACTATAAATGTAACTGATTAGTTTCTAACTTTGGACGAGGAACTGAACAAATATAATTTTCAATATTATAATAACCATGAGCATCCATGTTTATAACTTTTAATATTTGGTTTTTTGCTATAGTAAACCATGAACATAAACAACCTAAGCCTCGTGAATTTTGTTTTGGTGTAATTACAGGAGCAGATGTTTTACTGTATTCTCTTTTTTTTTAATTATACCTGTAAGGTAGCTAAAAGCTAAAATTCGGCCAATTACAAGAGAACCATCTTCTGATTTGAACGCACACCAATCTCCAATCGAAACAAAATCTTCTCGTTGTGGAGAAGAAAGTCCTTTGTTCCACAAAGGTGTTAAATGGGACACATGTGTCGCTTGAACTCGCTGAAGTCTATCCGAACTAATTTTCAAATTTCCAGAGCTTCTTAGCCATAATAAAATCTGCTTTTTAATAATAGCAGGATTGCCTCTACCACCCGCTACTCTAACAAATGGACTACTATCATTAATATTTACATCGTTGAAAGTTTTGACACCCAAAGCACCAGATGAAACAATGAATAGGTCCTCGATGACGTCATTTAATTCCTCCTCTTGATCCAGCTCATTATCAATTTCCTGGATATAATCAGTATCACCATTTAGCTCTTGATTATCATCAGCACCATTGAGATCATTTTCATCGAGATTTTCATTACTATCTTCATCCAAGTAAACATCATCCATTGTATTCATATCTACTTCGGTTGGAGATATTACACGCAAATCAGGTTCTGGAACAGAAGATCTATTTTTTTTAATTAAATCATAATTGTATGCTCTTTTAATAGCACGATCGAGAGCAACTTGTACTGAATTTTCAATTTCGTAATTTTCCGGTAGGGTAGTAGGAATGTAAGGTGTAACATCAGAAACCTTAAAAGCTTTATGATGCCTAGGAAAAGAAAATTCATTCCCCAATTTTAAGAACGTTGATGATAACAAATCGATTCGCCTAAAATGGTTCTGCAGATCTAAGATTGAAAACGAAACTACACCACAATGAGATGTTGTTGTTGATCTTAATTTTCTGAAAGTTTGTTCACAAGGTTGACTGGACATCAACCAAGGCAAAAACAAACTAGGCTCTTTTTCTTCTCGAAATTTAATTATTGCTTGAATTAAGCAATGAGCATTTATTTCAAGGCAAGTATACGTATTTGATGTGATGAAGTTGTTACTCAAAGTGTAGTCATCTTGTTCTAAAATCTACGCTCTCCACAATCTTAAGAAAAAAATCCATTCCCAGATCATTTCAATTCGTTCCAAAGGTTTCAGTTCAGGCAAAATGTAAGCATCCATGACTTCACGTATCATTTCTAAATAAGTTGCCGTACCTTCACTATTCTGAATTTTTGATCGAAGTGACGTTGGAACTTTTTTGTCACACATTTTTTGAACTGCTCGAAAGTTCATTTTGTCGCTTGGATTAATGTCCGTTAAACAAAGCTCGTGTTGGTCTTTACTTGTGGTTTGTATTAACTCAATAAGGTGACCACTGGAAACTACACATTTTTTGCCAAGAGGTAAAATTACTGATGGTTTGAGAAGTCTACTTTTGAGTTTCGTGCCAATATGAATGTGGTCCTGAATATGTAAATATTTTACTAAGTGATCAGCTTGATACCACTTCCACGATTTTGTATGTAACGGTGTAATAACGCGAAAATTCATTGCTTTTAAAAGTCGAGTGTCCCCATCCGAAGAGATGCCTACTATCTCAATATCCTCTTCTTTCAATTTTTTTTTCATCCACTTCCACCTTTTTAGAACTTGTGATGCAGTAAACTTATTATTAGTTCCGAACATAGCCAAACAGAATACTGATGCGTTATCACAGAGTGGTTGAGCTATTATACAGTACACGTCATTGCTAGTATCACATTCGTCAAAATAATTGCACATTTTTTCAGCTGAACTAGTAAGATATGAACCTACTATAGGAATCCCATCCGAATCTAAGGGAAGAGTAAAACCAACAACTTGATTTGTAGCCGAATGATATTGAATGCGCCCGTTAACTCGTGTGTTGTCTTCAGAGATGTGCACTCTAAGTGGATAATGTCTTTCCTGAAGAAATAGTTTCTATTCCTTAATACGAAATTCACCTTCAATTAAAACCTTATTGCTATAAATTTGTTTCCTAACATTCGAAATTGAAGGCAAACATAAATTTGCTGAAAGAATTTCATAAATAGATAATCCACCAATTGAATAAATAATAAAAGCAAGTTCCTTTATAACAGTACAGTAACGTCTTCCATTTGGATTTTTATCGGCATTAATCTTGGCAGAATCAAGCAATAATTGTAGCATATTACTAACATTCGTAGGCTGTTTGGATTTTGAATTAGATCTCATGACCGTTACGAGCTTATTTTTAAGATCTTCGTTTTGCATTAGAACTATTTCCATTTCGTTTAAAATTTTTCCATATTCATCGATTTTATGACAACTTTGAGAAGCAAACATTAATTTTCTTTGATTTCGTGCGGAGCGTGATTTATTATCTTGATTTGTTTTAGTTCTGTGGAGAAGAGTTACCACTCCTGTATCTTCTCCAAGTTCCGAAAATTTGAGTTTTCACCAGTAGAAGTAATGTCAGATGTTTCTTGAGTGTTGTTTAAATTTTCATTTTCTAAGTGTGAAGCTACTTTATTTGACTGTGACTTAGACTGTACTTCATCCTCATCAGAAGAAAAATCACTGGTTGAATCATGAGTCTGAATCCTTTTTCGTTTTAAACTAGGTTTCATGTTATTTCCCTGATCATTTCTCTCGTCGTTTCCTTCTATAGTTGCCTCGTTGATCTTGTTTAAATTTTTTTCCTGCAATTTATCAAACACTTTATCAATAGTCAAATTCTTTTTTTTACTAGCTTCTTGTTTTTGAGAATGCAAATTAATATGCTTATAAAAGTTTGATGTGATCCATCTATTTCCATTTCTTGTAATTTTAATCACTTTTCCACACTTAGGAAATGGACATTCCAATGTAGCAACATAAGAACCAAGACAATCTTCTGCTACTTTAGCTGAAATTTGAGGCAAATCTTGTCTAGAATAATTTTCTTCGATAAATTTGTTCACATTTTTATCCAATGTAAGTTTTAAATCTATTACAGTGCTGGTATTTTCTTTCTGACTATTTTTTTCGTGAGATTTAACCAACTATGATGTTGAGCCAGAAGAATCATCAGAAACAACATTTTTAGTTTTTTTTATTTTTTAAAGCAATTTTCTTCGCTACGTTTACTATTTCTGACAGGGCTCGTTCAAGACCTCCAACAAACATGAATTTTTCAGGATGATCTTTAAAAATACCGTAATATTTTCCACGATCTTCTTCTTTAATTATTACATGCAAAGTGGTTTGCATGAAATTTTCAATTTTTTTTTGATCATCTTTAGTAAATCGTTCCAAATTGAACAAATTGTCATAATTCGTAACCGACAGAATTAATTTTAAATATTCAGGAATAAAAATTGATTCTTCCTCGAAAATGCTCCATAGATTATCCATTGCCTGTAAATAAATAGAATTTATGTAATTAATTTGTATTAATATCATCATCAATATTTACAAAACTAACCTCTTTATTTAATATCGATTTAAAATCTATAAACGGACCAAACGTCACAATTTACCGTCTTCTATTTAAGTTATACAACTTATAAAATCAATAATTTAGTATTATTAATTATAATTACATGTAATAATAAAATATACCTAGATAAAACTTTTATTTTCGTTGTCACTGGAAAACTAAGCTAGAAACTGTCGTCTGCTATCGTGTTCTGTAAACATTCGATACCGCCACCTATGGCAAAGTTGCTATACTTCAGCATCAACTCCCGCGCTACATTTGAATAAGTGTTTAAAATTTTTACTTATATTAACATTTTCTGGTTTGGATTTCTTTAAATTTTTAAAGGTATTACACCATAAAACCACAATATTACAAGTATTACACAGTATTACATGGTATTACACAGTAATACTTATCATTACAAGACATTACAAAATATTACAGATATTACCGAGTATTACCAGGCAAGTGTACACTTGACTACCAGAGTAAATTCTCCCTCGTTTCAATCCTACTTTTATGTAGAAGAAAAATAATGGTTAATTTAACCTAAATAAATAATTAAATTTTTAATAAAATTCTTTTGATTTCGTGATCTTGATAACTTCAAAATCATTCTTGTAAAGTATTATAATTTTTAAAAATTAGTCAGCAACGACTTTAGTTGAAATATAATTGTTTGACCCTTTTGTAAAATGAAAATTCTTTTAAATGACTATTTTGCTAATAAAAATTCGAAAAAATAATATTTCTCTCAAATTCAAATTCGATGAAATAAAAAGTCTGTAAAATAAAGATTCGAGTAACAATTCTGTAATATATAAATTCGGTTAAATAGAGTTTCTGTTTAATAATAATTCAAAGAAATAAAAATTCGGCTAAAAGTAAATTGTAAGTAATGAAATTCTGTTAAATGAAAATTCTAACATATTAATTTTAGAGCTTATTTATGCATCTCTTATATTTTATTTGAAAGTAAAATTCAGATTTATTGTAATATTATGTTTGTTTGTACATATTTTATATCTGTTTTCAGTAAAATCTGAATTTATTGATGATGAATCATTGGGTGAAGTTCAGTCACAAAAGTTGGCAGAAGAAACGCCAAGTCCACATCTACAGGATCATCAATATGGACAAACACCTTGTTATCAAATGACAAGAAGGCCTGCACAGCCACCACCTCGGACGGAGGTACATTTATATTGTTTTCAAATTTTATTGCTAAATTCTCCTAATGCTTAAAGGATTCTAAATGTTTTAAATGTTCAAGTGTGTAAAATCATTGATTATAAAACTTTATTTTTATTCCCCTTCAACCGACAGTCCGAATTTTTCTCTAAATTCTAAAAAAATATATTTAAATATAATACAAGATTTGATACATTTTCATAATAAATTTCTTTCAGTGTGATTTACGCATTAGTATTATACATTTTTTGCACCTAAATTTGAGGCAATTTTTGCAATATTACTGCAAGTTTATGTGTAATGGTAATTTTAAAATTCAGAGTTTAAAAAAATTCAATGAAAAAAAAAATGTATAAAAACTATGAGATTGTAGCACTTTAAACCTCTTCTTGGGACACATGAATATTCACCCACATTGAACTTATTAGAATTTTTGAGGTGTCGAATTAAAAATTATCAATTTCATATTTAACAAAATTTTATAAAATAAACTTTATAAACAAATTTTCATTTAACGCGATTTTCGTTTGAGAGAATTTATATTTATCAGAATTTCCACAAAAAAGAATTTTAGTTTAACAATTCAGTAAAATGAAAATACGTTAATATTCACCTGAAAATAAGCTGGTCAAAAATTTATCGCTAATTAATTTTTAAGGCTATCTATCAGTCAAAATTTATCAGAAAGCTGAATTATTGGAACCTTAATTATTTATTACATTGTTTGCAGATGTCAGTACAAGCAGTTAAACGAAGACTTAATTTAGAAATGGGAACCACAACTCCCAATCATTCTGCATTTAAAACTCCTCGGGGTAAACGCAGGCGAACTGGTTCTAATTCATTAGGTGGACACACGCCAACTAAAAGTAAGCTGAATTTTATTTTACATTACTACATTCTGTACATTTTTTAACGCTCTATTTTATTAATTATTGAATTGTAATCAGTTATTTTTCATCATTATGATTTTTGGAGAATCCTGTTTATTTCTAGTTTATACCTGGTATATAGCCTGTTAAAATATTATTTTTCTTGTACAATACATTTTCTATCCTCCTAGGAAGTATGGATATTTTTGCTCCACGACTTATTGCTTAACAAGACTTATACTGTCACCCTATGAAGTTTGGATTTTTTTGCTCATCAATTTATTGTTTAACAAGACATGTATTGTCACCGCATGAATATATTTTTTTTTTTGATTTAGAAACTTTTTTGAAATTTAATATTTAGTTTAATCTTCCACAATTATTTAATAAATTAGATTTTTGATTTTTGGAAGATATAAGGTAAAAGAAAAAACAATCTTTCACCTTTTTAAAAATTTAAGACAACGTTTCGGTGGTCTTGTTCGCCACCATCATTAGGTCACTTTAATAAAAAATTATATTCAAATAAATACAACACAAATTTAAATTCAAAATTATATAATTAAACAATAAATTTTTTAACCTAATTAAAATCAATAAATAAGCATGACATCAATAAATAAAATGAAATAAATAAACAAAATACAACAAAAATATAAAATATTTAAATTTACAAATCACAAACATATTAATAGAAGTGATTAGTCAAACTGACTGACTCGATGACAATTTTCGCATTATATACAGACGATAGGGTCAATGACCAGCAATCGAAATATTATGAATTATAACCATTATATCAATTTATTGAGCAAAGGAAAATAGGTGTTACTTAGAAATTGTACAATAATATTAAAAGTCTTATGGCACAGTCAAATTTTAAATATCTGATTATTTATTTAGGTTTTGAAGAGAGTAATATTTTGAGAATTTATTTATTTATTGAAATTTAATCCAACAGTCCGAAGATTAATTACAGGATTATTAATACAAAATATAGAGTATAACAAGTACAATGATAAAGATAATGACTAAATATTTTATCGCAGTGAAATTAGTTCCTTTCAGTAAAATCATGTTCCAATTTTGAAAAAGTAAACACAGAATGGAAATTGGTATCAAATTCAGAATCATTGGAAACACTATTAAATGCATCACACATAGTATTTAAAATAGTATTCTGTAGGGATTTACATCCAGTATAAGTAGGTTGAATGTTTCTATGATATCGCTTCGGAACATAAAAAAAATATTTAGAATTCTCTAATAGGGGAAGGTGGGAGAATTGGAGCCCCTTAAGGAAAATGACTAAAAAACCGACTTATTCTTATGATAAAATATGGTTTCGGTCATATTTTACTCCTTTTGTTATTTATCTTTAACTATAATTAATTAGAAACTAAGAAAAAGAAAGGAAATTTGCAAAAAAAAATTTTCTAAAAAAATGCATTTTCTCTCATTACCCCACCGCGTGGGGTATTTGGAGCTCTTACTTAAAATTCCAATTAATAAAATTAATTAATAAAATACTAAACACACAAACGAAGAGAAATAGATGGTACGGGGTACTATGTAGATAGTACCAGGTACCATATATATTAAATTTTTAATTTAATAAATAATTAGAAAAATAATATTTAAAATTATTATTAAATTTAGCTTTACGTTTTTTCGGTGTTACTACCGCGCCACGCGCAGTTTGTTAAAACTTACATTTTTCTAAACTGTTCAATAAGTCAATTTGACATTTTTCAAAAAACTTCCTTATACATTAATAAAGTGTAGTCAGGGTTGCACATAGTTTTAACTTTTCTCTATAACCTCCCCTGTAAGCCGAATTTTGAGATTTCTTGTATATGGTTCGAAATATCTACTAAAATGCAATGTTTTTGCTGAACATTGTAAAAATATTTGACCAAAAGTTTCCGAGTTATAGTCAATTAAAAAAAAAAAGTAGTCAAGGTTGAACCAGGTAGTCAGGGTTGAGCCACTGTAGAAAATCAATGAAATATGCAGGTAAATGATTAATAATGACCTTCAAATGATAGAATGTCATTCAAATACACTTGGAAATGTGTAATGGAACCACGAAATTCAAATAAAAAGCCCTTATTGTGTAATTTTCATATTTTCGCTTGTATCGCGAAGCTGGTCTGAAAAGTGAAAAAAAAATTATCAAAAATTTGTATGTATTTCCTTTCTTTCCAATGGAAATGAAGTTTTGACACCTCTTCAAGTCGACAAATAAATTTCCATTGCAAGAACCCTTCATAATTGCAAAATTTTTGGGTGGCTCAACCCTGTCTCACGCGTCGTTTAGCGTCACATCACACACAAAAATAAACGCGTGATTCAAACACCATATTACGTTCCACATTTTCATATAACATCTTAATAAACAATTTTAGTCAAGTTACTTTATCTTCGACATATTTTTTCTGCACCTAATTGTCTTCTTTTGAAACAAGAAAAAAGTTTTTTGTTGATCGTATAGCAGTGACTCGCATAATACGTCTTTATTGCTCGCACAAGCTTCACTGCAACGTATGTGAAAAGTTCCCTGACATTGATAACAAATACTTACATACAAAGACAGATGGCTCTAGTGTGATAAAACAAAATAAACGCAATGGCTCAACCCTGACCATTGTCCAACCCTGATTACTCTCCCCTACTTAAAAACTCTAAATTAGTTTTTGTTCCAATTTTTTTAGTAATTGTCTTCATAATAAAAAATATTTTCCATAAAAATTTAACTTGAGCCCGATATTGGTAAAAGACAAAAAAAATTTATTTTTCTTAACAAATACACAATAGCAATAAAAAAATTTTCTATCAAAAATTGTTTCTCTTTAAAACATGTGAAAAAGTGTCTCTTGACATTTAAATTATTAAAATTTTAATAATATATATATCTGTTTTTAGGTAAAACTATAGAGAGGACGCGATACGACACATCACTAAGTTTACTTACCAAAAAATTTATAAATCTAGTTGAGAGTAGTCCCGATGGGGTGGTTGATTTAAATATTGCTTCCGAAAAATTGGAAGTTCAAAAGCGTCGTATTTATGACATCACAAACGTATTAGAGGGTATAGGAATTTTAGAGAAAAAAAGTAAAAACAATATTCAATGGAAGTAAGTGAAAATATTGAATTTTTATTTTCAATTCTTTCATAATTATAGATATTATGTAAAAAGAAAACTTGTTTCTTCAGAGGTGGGCAGCTTCCTGGTGAAAAAAACGATGTAATAGATTTGAGGAAGGAAATTGATGATCTAGAAGCTAAAGAAAATGCTCTGGATCGATTAATACATGGAGCTGAGAAAACCCTTAGAGAACTAGGTGTCGAGAAGCAATTTGCTTATGTGACGTATCACGACTTGAGATCCGTTTCTGCGTATAAGGATCAAGCAATTATGGCTGTCAAAGCACCACCGGAAGCAACTCTTCATGTTCCAAAACCAATTCCTAATTATGGACCACCCAAGGTATGTCATTCAATTTTTATTTCTAAATTGAAAATAAAAAGCAAATTTAAAAAAAAGGCGCCTAAAATTATGCTTTAAATTGAAATGTGACAAAAATTTGAACAAAAATTATTTTCATTTCGTGAAATTAATACCATCAAAATTATTTCTGAAAAGTAAATTATAATTTTAAAAAATTAATCGATGACGAAGCAATCAGAAAAAATACATAAGAAAATAAAGAATGTGAAATGTAAATTTTCCTGTTCCATATTTTAATTGATAAAATGTAAAAAGTTTACAATACAGATCTTCAGATCTTATTTACTTCAATTATTTAACAAATTTTTCATTAAAATTCTTCTTGAAATTAATTATTTTCAATAATTTAAATGATATTCTTCACAAATTATCTTAAACTATTTTTCAATTAAAAATTTTAGGAAAATCAATAATTGTTTAAAATTTTTAAAAATAGCAAATGTAATAATAATAATTTCAACTATAACTCTTCCGAAATTTAATTATTTGAAAACTTATTCAATTAAAAACTTTTAAAGTTCAATTTTTGTCTTTAATTTCTAATAATCTCTTTAGCAACAGAAATCACCGAAAATTTCAATTAATAATTACTTGAAGTTCAATTATTTTCAAAAATTTGAATTGTAAATAATTGAAAATTCAATTAATTTAAAAAAAAAGTTTCAAAAAATTTAAAAAATGGAACTTTTAAGATATTTTTAAAAACTTTGTCCTACTCAATTAAAATTTTGTCTTAAATTCTGAAATATTCCAAATAAATTTTCTTGATAATATTCTTATAGAATTATTTTTATTAAGGGGGCGCATGATTATTACATAAAAATAATTATTTAGAATTTTTAATTTATAAAAGTTTTTTAGATTCAATTATTTTTTTTTACAAATTTTCATTTTTTGAAAAAAAAAATAATTTTTACTTAACAAAATTGTTAGGTACCGAATTTTTATTTGACAGAATTTTAATTTCTCAGAATTTCATTTTACCCAATTTTCAATTTAAAAGAATTTTAATTTAGCATAATTCTCATTCAACAGAATTTTAAATGATAGGATTTTTCAAATGTCAAAATATTTTATTCGACGAATCTTTATGGAAAAAAACACATATAAAATTTTACTTTAATATCATTAAAATTAACACATATTTAATTCGTTAAAGAAATAAAAAAATAAAAAAGGGTTAAACTAATTTTTTTAAAAATATTCTAGAAAAATGTTAAAAGTTGTAAAAAAATTTTTCTTGACATTCTTTGAAAGGTTCCTAATTAAAATATTTTTTCAGCTTCAAATACACATGCGATCTACGCAAGGTGAAATTGAAGTGTTTTTGTGTCCCGACGAACCTGTACCGAAACCACCTGTGGCTCTTGCATCTACAAATCAAGCGACAACATCGTCATCATCAACGTCTAAAACAAGGACCTCGTCACAATTTCCTGTATCAAATTTGTCACATTATTCGACAGGTTTATTAGCCAATAACGGAGATATTAAGATTGAACCATCACTACTCTCACCAAGCAACATTAAACATGAAAGCAATTTAACACCTCCTTCCTCGTCTGCTGGCATGAGAGACGCTCTTCTTGGTGAATTGAATGAATTCAATCTTGTGCCACGAAAAGTATATAATCTCCAATCTGAGGACCAGAATCAACCTTTAGGTAACAATATGATTATTTATTTATATAATTTTTCAAACATTATAAATTTTATTTTATATTGAAAGTTTGTTTTAAAATATTTACTTTTTCAAGATATTAATTAATATACCGTCAACTAGGGCTATTATTGTTCAAAAATTGAAATTTTTTTGTTTTATACTTAATCAAAATTCTAAATTTTATAGAACAATATTTTGTTTGTTTTGTTTAAATGGCCTCTTGTATTAACAAATAGCCAGTACTAAAAGTCACATCCAGGGAAAAAATAATAATTAACTTCCAAATAGAATCCAATTCCAAGGATTTTCTTCTTCTTCTTCTTAAATGACTTAAGGCTTAGCCAACTGTCAGAACAATAAACTTAAAACATAATTCCACAAAGCATTATAAACAGCAGAGGTCACAGCACGATAACAGTGAGACACTTCAAACTCAGATACAACCAGTAAAATTCATGAAAAGTCACACGGAACAGAATAAAATAATAAAATGGGTCCTCAGGGTGACACAAAAAATTTGGATATTTCACAAAAAGGTTACGATGGGCGAGGGTAGAAGTCACACTCACTTATAGAACAAAACTCAGAAAAATCAGGATTAGAACAAACTTCGAAGAACACCTCGGAGAGCACGTGGTAGAACGAACGGTTTAAAAAAAGGTTAAAAAGTTGCTTTTAAAAGCAGAACAAATCATATATATTCACAGCACAGAACTTGGCTAAAAATGAACCAAAACTTGTTTGAACAAATCAAAGGTAGAACTAAATCAATGTTAAATGCATGGAGTGCCGGAACAAATTCCGTCCGGTCACTACCGCTGCCAAGTTTGAATTTTGCTTCCTCTTTACGATCAGCAAAAAAATTTGCTTCCTCGTGGAGAAAGCAAAATTTTATTGACAAAATATGAATTTTTGATTTTTTAACTTTCACTAATTCTTTAAATTTACCTCAAATGTATACTTTATATATATATCGATTGATTCGTCTTGACGTAAGGAATACGATTTTATTATATATAACCTTAAATTTTTCTATTTAAAAATTTTTTCGATTAAAAAAAAATTTTTTGAAAAAAGACGATAAAATTTTTTTTTTTGGGTATTTTTCAAAATTCTTTGGTCAGATTTGAGATATTAATATGATGAATGAGCCTACCAAATTTTATCTAAATCCATTAAAACCTGTTAAAGTTATCTTCTAAACAAAAAAGGGATCCACACACACACACACACACATACATACATCCGGACAATTGATCAGGATCTCATATAACATTTTTCTATAAAGAAAAAAATTTGTTTCCACCACTTTGAAAAGTTTTATAAACGAAAGGACTACAAAGCTTCCTCCACGAGGAAGCAAAATTATATAAATTCACACAAAATAAAATAAATAAACAAAAAAATAGATTAAAGCTTCGAGATAATAAATATTAAGAATATTAATTTACAAATAGAAAAAAATTTTCGAATTTCCAAAACAGAGTTCAAATTTGGATTAAAAATAAAACTATCCACCTTGAAGCTGTCAGGATTAAAATCTGAAATTTTAGAAGATAAATAAAAAAAATGCAGTTCTTGCATTTGATAATAGTGGGCAAAAACTCAATAGATGACGAAGACTTTTAAATTCTTCGCCACATTCACAATCCAAAGGAAGAGTCCAGTTCATTCTAGAGAAATGTTCACTGTTACAAATATGTCCAGATCTCAATCTGGTAATCAAATTAATATGTCTACGCGAAGCATCAATGCCACTAAACTAAGGTCTGACAGATTTAACATTAACCTTGCTAAAATAAGGATTAAGTGATACCCTGGTTCCAAAAAAAGGCAACAATCTAATAGACTAAGGGGCTATCCATAAATAACGTTGCACTATTTTTCACCATTTTCGACTCCCCCCCTAGGGATGGCCCCTAAGACCTCAGATTAGATTTTAACAAGATAAAAAAAATCTCTAATAGGAGCACTAACAAAATTTCCAATTGACAGCTTAAAAGCTTATAGTTTCTGAGAAAAAAATTATTTAGTTTTTGTAGCACGTGAAGTCATTGTAAACTATATACTTATATTATCACATTTCATATGAGCATACGCGGGGTCATGTCTCGGATTTTTCTCAAAATTCGGTAAATTGTAGTGATAGTGGTGCTAAATAAGTGTACATATTTTGAATTTGAAATTTTTAATATTTTTCGAGATATTTACAATAACAAATTAGAGCAATATTTTTTTGCTTTACTTATAACTTTTTCCCTACTAAATAATTAAGAGAGAAATGTTGAGAATGTTTTTTACGCAAAAGACCCCAAACTTTTAGAAAAAAATTATTTTTAAAAAAAATATTAATTTTTAAACAATTTGTTTATACACTGGAATGCCGGTTATTAGGACACTGGATTGTTTAGAAAGGTTAGGCGCTAAAACGGGTTGAGGAGAAAAAGGAAGTATATCTGCACGCAGTAGCGCATCTATTAAAGAGTCCGTTCCCCGCCTTGATTTAATGTATTATTTTGCAATTATTTATTGGTGTTATATGAATATGATAAAAATTAATAAGCTGTGTGATAATTTTGCTAAGTAAAATTTGTTTTAATTCTGAAAAACAATTAATATTTCTCAATTAATATTTTCTTTTCTCACGTCTAATGCGCCTAACCTCAAAATTGTTATTTAAATGTCAAACTTTGGTTATGTATTTCAATCGAAGGAAAAAAAAAACTTCTTACGGCCCTGTAAGTTTATGCTTTTTCGTCAAGGTGACCTTTACAGATTATTCGGACAAACACCCGAGCTGTCCTAATAACCGGCGTTCCAGTGTAAGTTTTAAACATGTTCTCCCTCATTTTGAAGCACAAAAAAAATCATGAATATTGTTTAAGTCATAATAAATCGATGGTTAAATTTTTGAAATAGCATTATTTTTTGTTTTCGAAATATTAATTACCTAATTAACTAACAAAAGTTAATAAAAAATTAAATATTTTACGAACAAATAAAATTAGAATAATTTTAAAAATACCATTTTAATGCTTATCGAAATCCGCACCCAACGAGCCCTATATGAACTATTTTGGATTAAAGGGTGTTAAATTAATAATTAATAACATTTGAAGAAATGAAAATAAATCGTCAATTTTTTTTTATTTGGAAAATCATCTAATTCTGCGTCAAAAAAGAATATTAAGTATTACTAAGAATCGAAAATTAATAATAAAATGGTATTTAGAGAAAGACTGAAAAATATCATGCCTAGTAGGTAGGCAACCACTGCCGAGTTATACCGTGGGGTGCTGAAACTAATATCTCGAAAACAAAAAATAATGTTATTTCAAAAATTTAACCATCGATTTATTATGACTTAAACAATATTCATGATTTTTTTCGTGCTTCAAAATGAGGGAGAACATGTTTAAAAGTTATAAACAAATTATTTAAAAATTAATATTTTTTTCTAAAAGTTTGGGGTTTTTTGCGTAAAAAACATTCTCAACATTTCTCTCTTAATTATTTAGTAGGGAAAAAGTTATAAGTAAAGCAAAAAAAGATTGCTCTAATTTGTTATTGTAAATATCTCGAAAAATATTCAAAATTTGTACACTTATTTAGCACCACTATCACTACAATTTACCGAATTTTGAGAAAAATCCGAGACATGACCCCGTATTCTCATATGAAATGTCATAATATAAGTATATAGTTTCAATGACTTCACGCGCTAAAAAAACTAAATATTTTTTTTCTCAGAAACTATAAGACATACCTACCATCTTTTTCAAGGTACAAATACAACGTTAACAATTTTAAAAATAATAGGATCCTGAAGCTTCTTAAAAGTCTTAGAATTAGGATCATTACAAATTCCTGTATTTAAAGATTTAGAAACATTAGAAAAGGCTCTAACCTTGCCCCAAATTTCCTTAGCTCCCATCGTGGGTTTAATGGAATCACAGGAAGCAACAAAAGCAGATTTTTTCTTCTGACGAAGAAACCATTTCACTTAATTGTCAACCAATTCAAATTTTTCCAATAATTCTTTACTCTGAAAAGCTAATAATCCCTTTCTAGCCGTTCTCCTTCTTTCAAGGGCAACATCACAATCTGAATCCCACCATAGTGGTTTAACTTTCCCTTTTCCAGATAAGTTTGAAGGAATATACTCACAATAATATCAGAGAACTTAGACCAATCAACATTCTTGAGATTAAATTTATTAGTAGATGATTTATTGTACTTAAGTTCAATATCAGAACTGGCAATAACAAGAAAATGATCTGAAGTGAAAGAATCGGTTGTAACCTCAAATGATGAAACTTGAGCAAGAGAGGAAGAAACAAAAATCAAATCCAAATGTCTTTTAACACCATCCAATTTTATATATGTTAGAACAGAATCATTCGATGGTAATAAATCAAAATCTTCAACTGTATTAGATAAATCAGAATCTCGATAATTATTATAACTGGCACCCCAAGACCAAGCATGTGCTTTAAAATCTCCATATAATATAATCTTCTTATTCAAATCACAACTCTGAACAAGATCAGCCCATATCGAAGAAGACAAACGTTTACCCGGAGGAGCGTACACAGATAAAAATTGTAAAGTACCAAATTTAGAATCAACAGAAACACCCACAACATCAATCTTTGACAATACATTTCCATTAATAATAACTAAAGGAGCAATCAATAAAGAATTTCTAACTAGTAATAAAGAGCCACCACCAATATGATGATCACTACGATCCTTCCTATATGTAAAATAACCAGAAATCTGTCAAACAGGACACTTTCAAAAGAGCCAAGTCTCTGGAATGCATAAAATATCTAAATCATCTAAACGAAGGATCGATTCAACTTTCCAATAACACTACGAGCATTCCAAAATAAAAACTCAAAGCAAATTTGCCTAACAAACAACAATAAAACTAATATAAAATTAACAAAAATTTATCAAATTAAAAATCAAAAATAATTAATAATTCAAGCATCCAGGGAACAATTAGTGAAAACAAATATAAAAACAAAAAACTGAAAATAAAACGTAACAAAAAGAACACTAATTGAAAAATATCAATAAGATAGACTGCGGCGCATTGTATCTATTAAATCTTGCTTAGAACGACTCAAATCTACCAACTCATCAATAGCATCCAGTTTTTCAGATAATACATAATCACCAATAAAATCAGCAATCTCAGACAAAGATAGATTATCATTAATTGATGGAACCACATCATCATCGTGTCTGATCATATCTCCAACTGGAGTAGACGCTAAAGGTTTATTCAACAATTTAGTTACATCATTTTCCAAGTTAATAGTTTCACTCACAGGAGATGACATTAAAGGCAAATCATTAAGCGAATCAATAAGTGAGTTATCATTCCTAGGCAAAACATCACACAGCAAATCTGGATTTTCAGAACAAAGTATAGCTTTGGTATCATCTCTAGAACAGCCAGCAATGGTTCTAAATTTTAGAATACCAAATTCAGATTTATAAATAGGACATTCACTTGATGAAGACATATGTGTTCCATTACAATTCTTACATTTCGCTCTACCATTTCTGTTACAACAATTATTGGTATAATGCTTGCCCGCACAAAATTCACAAGAAGGAAATGTAGAACGACATTGAACAGCTGTGTGACAATCTCTGGCACTTAAAACATCTCCTCGGTCTAGGGTTAGCTGTTGTCAAAATAATAACATAACCATTCATGGAGATACTGCTTGGAGAACAATATTTTAAACTATTTAATCGTGTTGTTAACATCAAAGACAGGATTCATTTTAAATTAGATAAGCTAAATATGGACGGAGCTGAAAATCAATTTTTCTCCGAAATGTTTTTCAAAGATTTTTAGACAAAACGTATTTTTTTCTTTAGCTGAAACCATTTTTTTTACGAAATTATAACGAATATAATTTTTCGAGTTGAAATCGTGACTCGTATGATTAAACCCCAAATTTCATTTAACATATAAATATTAATTTACATAAAATCATTTGACAAAATTCAATTCACATAATTCTCTTTCAACATAATATTTATATGGAATAAATTTGATTTGATATAAATCTCATTCAGCATAAAACTTATTTGATATAAACTTCTGTTAAATATGAAAATATTTAACAATCGACCATCCTGGTAATTGCTCGACCACGAGTTAAGATAACTATAAAATCAAACAGAAAAAATTAACTTCATCAGAAGAATAATTTTGATTTTCATGGTTGTCATCTAATAATGGTTCTTTCCAAATTTTTAATTGATTTGCATGAGCTGTACTAGCATATCGATGATTTTGTTTATCTTTTTGAATTGCTGCTACGCCATAAGTATAACTAGGTAACACTCGAGTGATCACTAAAGGTCCTCTGAATTTACTTTGGAGTTTAGTAGATTCTCTTGTTTGCTCTTGTGCTCTAACTGATTCTTGTAAAATTAGATGAGTATCTATTTTCATTTTCAATTGTAAGTTTTCTAATCTAATTAGGTGACGAGTTAAGATTTCTTTGAACTTCCTTCATTCTGAGATCCCATTCTTTACCGTCTGAATGTTTGATGCTAGCTTGTATAGCAGGAATTAATGAATTATTGGTTCGTTCAACTAATCCATTAGCCTACTATCCGCGAAAAAATTCAAGGCCCCTGAAAAATGATAGACTTTCACTTTGAATAATCCTTTTAAAAAAATTGCTAGGAAAGAACGGAAACAATATTTGGAAAGCTTAGAATCTCACAAGCTTATATACTTCAGGCCGTTTCTCTAAAAAAAATTTTCTTTCTGACAAACGCAAAAATAGATCAAAATGCACTCTATTTTTTGTTACTTTAGAAATTACCTGACTTTGCATGACACTTTTATATGAAAATCTTCATTGAAAAAATTTGAAAAAAGTATCATTTATTCATTAAATCCTTCGGAATGAAGCCATTTTTGAATTTTTAAAAAATATTAATTATTATTGTTTTTATTTATTATAATAATTATTATTAAAAAATAAATGTCATTTATAAGTAACATACGAATTATTATTTTTGGGCCCTTAGTCACAACATATATACAGCACTGATAATATTTCGTGAAAAAAATTCTGAGTCCAGGCAAAGGAGTTGGCCGGGATTTTTTTTATGGCAGGTTTAATAGTTCTATTCAAGAAAATTTAGCCTACCGCTACCCTTTTTCACCTGTTCCTAAAAAAAAACTGTCTACAGAAATGACCCAAATCGCGAAAAGAACGATAATTACACTTTTTCCAACAAATTGAATTAATTGTTGGGTTTAATATTTATGCACAGAAATTTGATTCATTAAAATCGGCCCAGTAGATCGAGAGATAACACTGTCTTCATTTTTTTACAATAAAAACAATAATAATTAATATTTTTTAAAAATTCAAAAATTGCTTCATACCGAAGGATTTAATGAATAAATGATACTTTTTTCAAATTTTTTCAATGAAGATTTTCATATAAAAGTGTCATGCAAAGTCAGGTAATTTCTAAAGTAACAAAAAATAGGGTGCATTTTGATCTATTTTTGCGTCTGTCAGAAAGAAAATTTTTTTTGGAGAAACAGCCTGAAGTATACAAGCTTGTGAGATTCTAAGTTTTCCAAATATTGTTTCCGTTTTTTCCTAGCAATTTTTTTTAAAGGATTATTCAAAGTGAAAGTCTATCATTTTTCAGGGGCCTTGAATTTTCTCGCGGATAGTAAGGGTGTCGACGAGAATTCAAGGTATGATGAATTCCATGACGAGAACAAAATTCTTTAAATAGTTCAAACGTAAAACACATTCCTCGATTTGAAACTATACGAATAGACGCTCCAAAATCCAAAATAAAGTCTTCCATCACTTTGACTAAACTCGATGCTTTTATATCTTTGCCTGCTTTTATGTTGACAAACCTTGTTAAATTATCAATTTGATATATCGTCTCAACAAAGGGAAATAGAAAAATTCAGCAATTTTATTGAACGTTTTTTCCGGACCTGGATGTCCTTGTAAATCATGATTTTTTTGACGTTTATAAAATACTTCATTATAAATTTCGTCATCCATTATGTCATTTTTCTCATATTTTGTTCGTAGTTTTTCTGGACTTTATTTTTTATATTGACTTTGATAGTCATTGCCGTCTTATAAATTTTAATACATTGAAATTAATAAAAAAAATTCACATTTTTATAATTTTGGGTGAAACCAGGCCTAAAATATCAATGTTGTCCCCTAGTTCATCGATTTCAATAAAACTTGGTAAAATGGTAAGGAAATACACCATATAAATGAAATGTCTCAAAATAATTTTTGAAAATGTTTATAATTTTTAGATTTATGAGATTTTTCAAAATTTTTGAAAATGAATAGAAATATAGAAACAAATGAAAAAAATATATGACCTACAAAAAAGTTGTTTAATCAAATTTTTATTCAAAAGCGTACTTATTTCTTATTTTCTTTTTTAATGTCGATATTTCCATTCCTTACGAATTCATGAGAGTTTTAGGACCAAAAAATCAACAGAATTAAATTTTACGAAATTGTGAATTGAAAAAGATTTAATTAAAAAATATTGAAACCATTTTTTCAGTATTGTTCATAAAGAAGATTATTTAAAATTGTTTTTCACATTTCAGAAATTTTTTACATAATTTCAGAAGACTACATCAAAATGATCATAATCATCATCATCATCATTATTGACTAACAGAAATTCTTTTTACCGTTCCCTGATGGAGCTCTGACTGTGACCAGTGTGTATTATTGAGTCACATCACAGGCAGAGTTCTAGTTGGGTAGCTGTTAATTGCCGCTAAATCATCTCGACGAAATATGAAATCTAATCATAAATTTTCTTTTTTATAAATATGCAAAAAAAATGTTAATGTAAATTTTAATACTGATGTACTTTTATTTACTCTGTTGCAGAAATGAACTTACTCGATTTTGAAGATCCTTTACTGCCATTGGAGGCACCGTTTGAATATCCCTTCACGTTAGGTACAGAAGAAGGTCTATCGGATCTCTTTGATTTTGAATTGTAAACATTTGCAGGAATAATAAAAATACGTTTAATTTCCTTCGAGTTTATATCCAGGGAATTTGACGCGCTGTAAACACTTGTAATAACGATTTTGTACTTACCGGAAACACTGAAAACAGTTTCTATTACGTCACTCTCTTTATCTCTCTCTCTCTCTCTCTCTAGCATAATTACGTCCGAGTGTTAAATAATTAAAATTTTAGTAGTCATCAAAAATTAAATAGTATAATAAATACTTTTTGATTTAATAATTAATTCATATTTTTAAACCTTAAAAATTAGTAATCTATATTTTAAAATGGAAATTTTTATTTAAAAAATTTACTCCAAGCCGAGTTTTGAAATAGCATGTTTTTTTTGTTATTGTTAGAAAAAAATTTTCTATATTTAATGAAATTTAGAAAAATGATAGGAATCAAATAAAGGAAGATTGATTTAAGAAAAAAAAAAGTTTTTAATGAAAAAGAAAAACTAGAAAAAAAGTGTTTTTTTTTGTAAAGTGTTTTGTTTTAAAGTTTAAATAATATTTTTAAAATTACACATTAAATAGAAAATCTTTAATTACTTTAATTTGAAGATTTGAAGATTTGTATTTTAATCTTAGTACAATAGGAAAAAAAAGACGTAATTGCTGAGAATAGTCATTGTTTCTTGGTAATAAAAAAAAGTAACATGAAAGACATATCACGTTACTTTATTACTAATATGAAAATTGGCGCTCGAATCCTCTAGGATTTTCTCGTTGCGAACGTTTCAATTTTTTTCTCGGTGCAATTTTTATGTAATTTTTCTTACAACGTTCGCCAGTTAAATTTGTCATCGCGTCTCAGAATTAAAAAAAAAAAAACAATACCATATAATGGAACACAGTCGAGTGTAATAAAATTGAATCATCAGACAGAGTCTGTTATGATTTTTTTTCAAAATGTTAATATGACGAATTTATGTATCAATATTTCTATTGGAAAATAGAAGCAAACTAGAATGATTTGATGAGATTTAAACATTCTATTATGATTAATTGATTGTAAATATATATTAAAAGTGGAGAAAAAAAATGAAAAATTGCAAATTTTTGCTCTGCAGTAATAAATAGAATTTTTTTTAAAAACAAATTTGCAGTCATGGTGCACAATATACGAAACACGATGTAGATGCCACTAACCACCTTTATTATTATCATTATTATTATTATTATTACTATTTTTATTATTATTATTATTATTATTATATTATTATTATTATTATTATTATTATATACCTCTTGCTTATTATATAGTTAAAGAATTGATTAAGTACATTTTGAAAAGAAGTTAAATGCAATAAATTATCACGTATTTTAAATTTAAAAATAGATAAACAATTTTGTTGCATTTATGGAGACTAGGGTTGGAGAGTTTTTACTAAAAAGTCGATTTTTCAATCAACTTTGTACTCATTGACTTAAAAATCGATCAATCATTCACAATTAGTCGACTTCATTTTATATATTTTATTTTTTTTTAAGATTAGTCAATTTAGTTAAATTAAATTTTTTTTATTTTATATTGCTGTTTGCTATTTCAAATAGAAAATAATTCAAAGAGAAAAAAGAAAGAAATTTGAAAAATTTTTCTACAAAAAGTGAGATAAGTGCGTGTAACTTAATCGTAATTTCGTCCCTGATCTATGGATTCAATTTTTTTTTAAGTAAATTTTTAATGGCAATTTGTTATAAAATCTATAAAATAGTAGTTGAACTACAATTGAAAATGAAATTTCAAAAAAATTAAAAATTTTCAAGTTCAAAAGGAACTGTATGTAAATTTAAAAAAAAAAATGTTTACAAAAGCCAAAAATATTTCTGTTAAAAAAACGGAAAATTTTTTCCTAGTTCAGAAAAAATAAAAAAAATTTCAACTTTTGAATTTAAAATAATTGTCGAAAAGTATATTTGGAACATATAAGATTCTGGTTAATTAATTTAAAAAATTTATAAGTGGAAAAAATTAATTTTTCTGCATTTTCATTTCACAAAAATTATAGATATAATTTTCCATCTGAGATACATGCACTTTCTCATTTTTAAATGTCATCTATAGTTATGACAAAAAATATAATTTTGATTTTAAGATACATTTACACCTTTTATCTTTTCATATTACAAATTTAAAGAGAAAAAAGTCGAAAGTCGACGAGGAAAGTAGTCAATTTTTAAGAGACAAAAGTCGATTATGAAAAATTTGATTTTTAACTGTATTCTAAAAATCTATTATACCAATTTTATAAAATGAATTTATTCTTATAGTGATTTATTTTCCTGAGAGATATTACACTGATATTTAAAAATAAAATTATTGGCAATGTTTTCACTTTAAATAGTGAACTTGATTTTTTTTTAAATTAACTTAATGTTTTAAAATATTAATAAAAAAAGTTTTTAAATTGTCTCTATTTTTTTTTAATATAAAATTTTTTCAGCTCATTTTACAATATAATGAATTGAAATGTAAAATTTATTGATAAACTATAGTAAAGTCATTGTACTTTATTACAAAGTGTTATTGTCAATTTTATTGACAATTGTCACTAATATACGTTAAAATAAATCATTGAACTTAATTTTAGAAAAGTAATTGTTTTTCATGGAAATTGTTTAAATTTATTATTTTTTGCTGTATTTATTGTACGTCGAATAATCACCAGGGAAGGAAACCATATAAAAAAAACATCTGCATCCAGTTTCAACTCTATAAGATATTTTTTAAATCGGCACTACTACAGAAAAACTCTCATAAATTGTTTGATATTTACACTGTTTTTGTTTCACTAGCGTTCAACTTTTAGTGAGCGCTCAAACTTTAGTATAGTGCCATTGATTAAAAAAAATTTAATAAAAAAAAAACTGATTGTAGCCCTTTTTTTATGGATTTAATTTCTAAAAGAGGTAGATTGTCTCGTGAAACAAAAATAGTGGTAAAATTTTGATAATTAAATAATTCGGGAGAATTTACGGCACGTCTTTATAATTTTATTTTTGTGACAGGTTTGCATTTCATTAATTTTTTACAGACAACTTGTTGCAAATAATAAAAATGTTACTCACAACAAATTTGTTAACTATTTCATTATTAAAATTTAAAGAAAAATAATTAATTACCATTTTACATTTTTTTTTCTATTATTTTTTTAGAAATAATTTTTTGAAAAAATTTGGAAATTTTAAAAATCCATACTTGATTGTTTAGAATCATGAAAAAAAGATTTAAAAAAATTGTTGGGAAAAAATAATACAAATTATGAGAAAAGTTAATTTTTCCAGAATTTTTAAGTTATATTTAGAAAATTCAATAAATAACAAATTGATAAAAAAAAATAATAAATGAAGTTTATCCATGAACGTGGCTACCGTTATTTCAATACAAATTTAATTTATTTCATTTTACATTCTTACAGTAAATGATAATTTAGTATTTTCACTTTTATAACAATAGTTACATCTGGAAATTAATTTAAATAGTTGAACAATCGAATCGTTAAAAAATTGGGTATTTTTTATCACTTTGATTTAAATTGATTGATATATTCCAGTTATTTATTAAATAATAAAATATTTTTTCATATTGTATTACAATTTTAAATCCTTAATTTTCAATTTAACTAATTTCTCCCCTTAAATGAATAATTTATAAAATATTATTGCAAATTTGTCCCAAATTACTAAAAAAAAAAACTGAATGAAGTAACAAATAAAATTCTTCTCAAAACACTTTCAAATTTTTAATACCAAAAGAAATTATAAATATTTATTTCACAAAGTTTGTTAATGGAAATAAATGATTTTCATTTGTTGTTCTACAACTCCTTGCATAAGTTAAATTAAATTAAATTTTTTATCTAGAGTTATTTGAACTTGTTTGAAACTTTTTATTCAGATGCTCTTGGGGTTGTTAATTAAAAATTACCAGATTGTCAGAATTCATAAAATGATAAATTTCTGCTTTTTAAATAGACGCATATGATTAAGCTCTAAAATTAATTTGTTAGAAGTTTTGTTTGACAGAATTTCATTACCTAGAAATTACTTTTAGCCGAATTATTATGTTACAGAAGTTCCATTAAAACGAATTTCTATATTATATAATATTCTATATTCTATATTGATTTAAATTAATTTTTATTTAAAGAATTTTTATGTCAATGAACATGAATTTGACAGAATTAGTATTATTTACTTGAATTTTCATTAAATTATCTTTTCTACCTGAATTTACATTTTCAGAATTCTAAAAATACAGAATTTTTATTTTACAGAATTTTCATTTCTTCAAATATCTGTCAAAAATTTTGGCGCGAATTTTTCTGTTTATTGTTTTTCGGTCATTTGAAATTTCGGACAAATAGAAGTTCAGCGTTTTAAGAATTCTGGAAAATGTAATTTCGAATAAATGACAATTCGACTAGACAACAATTCTTTCTAATATTAAATTAATATTAAATTTTTATAGTACGCGATAAACAAATAACTGCCTGTAGCTCATTGTTACTTAATGTGCTATTTTTTCCGATAAGTTATAAATTATACAATAACAATCACTTATTTAAATCAAAAACATTCGCAAGAATACAAATCAGTATATTAAAATTTGACAATATTAAATTACTATTGATTATATAAACAATATTATTTCAATACGGTCATCACTTAGTAATCTATAAGTATATAAAAAAAATTATGAGACCGTTTCTAAAAGAAATCACAGTACACAATCACCGATCTATTTTTATTGTTATTTCTAGAAAAAATAAAGGTACAAGAATTTTGTAGAAAAAAAATTTATAAAGTTTATTTTATTCTTTCACGTAATTAATTCTAAGACATTAAATATTTAAAACCAAACGAAAGTTCATAATAACTTACAAAATTTATTCTTGTCGTTGGCACCATGACGTGATTCGAAAGACGATTTGAATGAAGTAAATAGTATGTAAAGAAAATCTGCCTATATAGGTTTGTTGTATACATAAAAAATAAAACAAAATCACTTACATCTTGAATAGCTTATTTACAAGTTTAACAACATTTTTTTGAAACTTGGCACATTAGTAAATCATCAAAAAATATTACCCTGTTGAAAACTACCACATGGGATCTCACTTATGAAATCCAGGTTCATACTTAGGAATATCGAAACCATATTATGGAATTTTTTTTAAATAACTTTAACTTTTTAAAATAATTAAATTTTAAAAGATTATCAGTTCATTTCTTTACAGAAATAAAATTTCAGACGATTTTTAATTAAAAATTTTAAGGGGCTATCTATTAACTACATTACTAATTTTTCATTCTTTTTAGACTCCCTCCCTTCTCGATACATTGAATTAAAAGCATTTTTATAGACTTCTTGACCCCCTCCCCTTATAAAATAGGTAACGTAGTTTATGGATGGTCCCTAATATTTAAATGCATGAAAAACTATACAGATTTTTAATAAAATTTAATTCATAATTTTAAAAATGATTTGATATTTCGAAGAGGAGTCAAATCATGCCAAGTGAGCAGACCTCCAGCCCATTTGTCTCCGATTTAGTTGAAAATTGGTAGAATTGTTGAAATATGAATATGAATATGTATATGAAATATCTCAAATTTAGTTAAATAGTAATAACGGGTTGCCTAGATACAGGGTGTCAAAGTTTAATATTTTTTTAAGCGTTAAATTTCAATAATATCTAGCACCTATAATATTGTTTGTATTTAAAAAAATATTATCCGTACAAAAAAATATCTTTTTTTTAAAAATTATTCATTTTGTATAAACAATTATTTTATTACTTTCTCCATGCCGAAATTAATTTTCTTTTGCA